CACTGCTGTAATCTTTCTTCTTGTTTCTTTTCTTTTTTCCTCTAACAACTGCTGTAATCTCTCTTGTTTCTTTTCTCGTTCTTCTTGTTTATTTTCGTTCTCCTCCAACAACTGCTGTAATCTTTCTTCTTGTTTCTTTTCTCGTTCTTCTTGTTTCTTTTCTTTTCCTCTAACAACTGCTGTAATCTCTCTTCTTGTTTATTTTGTTGTTCGAGCTGCCATTGTTGCAGGTTTTCTTGCAACTACAGCAGTCTCTCTTCTTGTTTCTTTTCTTGTTTATTTTCTCGTTCTTCTTGTTTCTTTTGCTGTTCTTGTATTGCTGCCATCAAATCTGCTAAGCTTTAGTTTGATTTGCCGCCTCTCGTTTCCATTTTTTTTGTCCCACTCTCTGACACCAATTTGTTACGTTTCCGTTCGTTAGTTAATTTCCGTAAATTCGTTCCGACGAAACTTTAGCGACACAAGCCCTTTCTTAAATAAAACTGGGTTATTCTTTCCGAATACAACTTTACGATACACTTAATTTCAACAGTCGCTCTATAACAAACGGTATAATTCTCAACGAACGTCTCACATGCTCGTGCTCGACTCAAGAATACTCAGTTCAATTACACACACACTGTCCCGTCACGTTGTGACAGTCTTATATATACAAGACTAACACATATCTAGTAAACGCTTGAGCATTCATGAAGAAACAGAATATTTCTAGAAGGACGTGGCGTGATACTAGTCATGTGACCTCGCTGACTAAACAGTAGGGTTAGATATACTGATAAAGCAACCCATTTAAACATTTCATACCTATTTGTGCTCTGCATAACCCTTTGTAGTCTGCAGGAGGTGACATGATTTTGACTAAAAGTGATTTGTAGTACTTAAATGGGATAAACTTTTTTTTTTTACATGTATACTTCGGCTGATCTTTACGAATAAAACAATAACTAAAGATAGTATAAACAATCTAAACATTTTAATGAAAAACTATGAGCTTTTTTTAGATCTTCTAAACGGTAAAGAATTATTAGTATTTTGTTTTGTTAAGCGCAAAGCTACACAATGGTCTATCTGTACTGTGGTCACCACAGGTGTCGAAACTCTTTTTTTATCTGAGCTACTAGGGGTGGGGGGTAATAATTATCTGTATGAGTGTTGTATTTATCAAAAGTTTAAAAGTAAGACATCAAAACTGTTGACTATACAACGTTTTTGCATATGGTTCACACTAGGCAGTAATTCTGCTGACCTTGAAAAATAATAGAAGCTAGACGTTTCTAGAAAACTAGCATGAAATTCACTTTCTCATCGTTATTGATTTGTGCCAAACAAGTTCGAAATCCCACCATATCGAAAATATTACTTGCACTATCAGGAGGCTCTAGCTTGGAGGATGCAAGAATTTTAAAAGTATTAAAACAAAAGTCCCTTATATAGGGTTGCACTTAAGTATTGTGCTTTATTTGCTTCAAAATCGTTGAAATAATGGCAAAGTATTCAGTTGACGAATACTTTATATGAGGTCCTACTGTATGGAGAGTATCATGAAAATGTCATGCTGCTGCCAAATTGTATGCTAAGCAGCCATAGCTCTCTATAGAAGGTTTTGGAACAGCTCTCAGATTTAACTCATCGTTCACATTAGGAAATATGTTTCAGCAGCTGCGTATCACAGGTTCATTTATACATGGATATCATTCAAGTGCACCAACAACAGCAACCATTATTGACGATGAAGCCGCGAAATTGGCATTTTCCACACTTGGTCAACACTTTGAACACAACTATTGATTGTTTGCCACCATTTCGTAGTCCTATAAGCAAGTTTATCTCATCTACATTTATGGCTATATCTGTTACCATTGTAGACCGATATTGGCAATTTTCGATTTAAAATGTTTCATTTGATATTATCAACACCTTTACAATTAACATAAGTGTTCAATTCTGAATTATTGACCTTCCAATTAACTTTTAAGTTACCCAGTGTATAAATATGAAGCTATTGGTGCTCTTAATCAATAGCAAACAAAGTTCCCAAATTATCGTTTGATGCGAAAATGATTTTAACAATTGACATTGAAAAAATACCTTGTAGTATTTTATTATAACAAATTATTTTAATACTCTAGAGTAAAAGGTTTTTTCTAAATCAAAGACTAAACAATCAAATAACGTAGTCTAAATTACTAAGACGCTTACTTGTTCCTGACAACTACAGAAATATGAGATATTACAAGTTCTACATTGATTGTACTATTCACTTTAATATCAAATAAACTATTCTGAGAAAAATTAATGGTTTTTATGATTATCTTAATTGTTTTTGCTTTACATGAAGGTAAAGGGTTTCTTAAGAATTAAAATATAAATTAATATTGATTTCTTAAGATCTACATTTACCTTGAAAATACTCAGTTCTTTTTTAAAATTATAATGCTACTCAGTGTCTTTAATTCCAGAAACCTTACCAACTATCAAAAAATAATTTACCTGAGCGTAATATCATCCATAAATCTCGATCTAATCTAAAAATGGCTTTTAAAGTGCATTTGATTAAGCTAGGTAAGTTGGAAAATAGCAACAAATATTTTAACATCGTTTATAATGTAAGTTACACAGTAAGCTTTGTTGATCGACTATGAATGAATAATTCTTATTAATTCAAATGCATTTTAAATAGTGCACTTATCATTATTCTTAACTTTGTTTAACGCAAGTTGGAGTTTATTACGAAATGTTTCTCTTAAGGTAAATAACATAACGACATATATCTCCTGAATGTATTTTATTAACATAAAATTTCGCTATCGATATCTCCTGACAAAGCTGTAAAAGCGAAATAATGAACTGTTGCGTCAGTGAGGTCACGTGACTAGTGTCACGCCACTCGTTCTCTCGAACTTTCGTGAATTGTCGGGAGATTACTAGATATAGGGTAGTCTGGTATATATATATATATAAGAGGGTGACAACGTGACGGGAGAATGTGTGTAGGTAGTGAGTAATCGAACTGCAGTCAGAAAGTATTGTTGAAGTTAACGTTCGTTGTTAAAACGTTTGTTATAGAGCGACTTTTGAAAATAAGTGTATCGGTAAAGTTATATTCAGAAAGAATAAACCAGTTTTATTAAGTAAGGACTTGTGTCGCTAAAGTTTTGTCGGAACGAAGTTATGGAAAATCAATTAACGACTGGAGGCGTAACAGAACTAATAAAAATACATTCTGGAGATATAAGTCGTCATTTTATTTACCTTAACAGTATACTTATTATGTTTGTTTCTTGGAAGTCCATTATCTGGACATTGTTTGCCAAGTGCAAACTTTCTGCCTGGGTGACTTTCATTGGATTCCAGCTTTGTTTTCTGACCATACCCCCAAATTGGAAGTTCATACAGTAAAAATTGTGAGGAAGAAAAAGATTAACAACTCCACACAAGACCGCTACTTGACCATCCAGGCTCGAAGGAATCACTTTGCTCCAGCTGTTAACCTCCGTAACTCCCTCCAAGATGCCACAGGAGTCCAAAGTGTTGCAGACGCCTTCACGAAGCTCAGTTGAGGGCTAGACGTCCTGCTGTTCATGTTCCTTTAAGCCGACGGCACAGGCAGGCACGACTGCAGTGGGATAGAGAACACAGGAAGTGAATTGCGCAACAATAGAGGGCCGTACACTTCACTGATGAGTCCCGCTACTGTGTGGACTTTCTTGATAGACGCAAGAGAGTTTGGAGACGCCCTGGTGAGCGTAATTTGCCTCAGAATGTCATCGAACATGATCGCTTTGGAGGAGGTTCAGTCGTGGTGTAGGAAGGCATCTTAATTGCAGGCCGTACCGACCTTGCAATCATCCGAAATGAAAGTTTCTCTGGCCTAAGATACAGTGATGAGATCCTTGCACCCATTGTTCATCCATATGCAGGTGCAACACGACTAGACTTCCTGCTTATGGATGATAATGCACGTCAAGTGCAGTGACTGCCTTCCTGGAAGCTGAAGGAATTCCCAGGATGGAGTGGCCAGCTAGGTCTCCTGACTTCAACCCAATAGAGTACACCTGGGAGCAGCTACATAGAAGGTTACAAGCTCGTCAAGCCCCATCAAGAACGCTCCAGGACCTGGAAGCTACCCTTATTGAAGAATGGTAACAGGTTCCGCAACAACGATTGGCTAATCTGATCATGAGCATGCGCAGACGTTGCGCAACAGTCATTAATGCTTGAGGTGGTAACACAGACTATTGAAATCATCATGACTGTGAATTGGACATTTCTTTCAATGACTGTTGATTTAGAATTTTTTTTTTTGTAACACTGTACCACAGAGTGCATCGGTTCCCCAGGCTCTGTTATCCAAGCTAAATGTTACAGAATTTAATAAAGTGTAAAAATGACTTATTCAGGTGTTTTTCTTCCTAAAATGTTGAATCTACACATACCATTCTGGTAGGTGTTTGACATATACACAAACTAAAACATGATCCCTTGCAAATGTTGACTACTGGCATAATAATAGCATGTTGCGAACAGTTTGTGGCTACTTGCCCACCACCTTTACTTTAAAGAGGTTGATTATCTGTCCAGTTCACACTTAGTTCATTAGTGCAGCTGTGGATTTGCATCATATCACAAATCGTTGTATTTAGAGAAGTTCTCACCAGACTGCGCTACGATCAACATTTCGCATTGTCCAGGCGTTGTATATATCAGCGAGAGCAGCAATCAGAGATCTTTGAAGACTGATGGAAGGGAAGTGCAAGAAGTTTAAGATTTTAAGCAACTCATGTCCTTAGTAATTTTTAATTTTGATTACCACTAAATCTTAAATAATTAATTGGAGAGAGAAAGTATAGAAACACCTTTTGATGAATCATGACTGATGTATCTTAACAAGGTGAAGCTTAACTAAGTCGTGCAATTTCTACGTCAAGGCGTTAAAGTTAGCAGCACTGCCACCAGACTATTCTCATCTCGTGCTATCTGGGACATCAAGAACCTATCATTCAAATTTCAATTACGTTACAGCTTACACTTACAGTTTATATCAAAGTAGGACAAGACTGTAAAATGTTTGTATAATACTTAATAAAGGAACGAATAGTTAGATATGTTCACTTCAAAATGAGCTGGAAGACTGTGTTCGTTATCTTAATCGTTGCAGAAATCCATTTACGGGTTTCAGGTAAGAAAACGTTTGGTAATTTATATATTATACTTGTACTATAGGCATTCTAGGATATTGAGGTACTGATTAACTTATAAATAAATCTCCTATATGAAACATTTAAAAAAATAGTTAAGCCAGTTTAAACAGCAAATGTTGAAAATTATTAACTATTACTGAGCTTGTTCTACATTGTTTTCAGAAATATTTTTTCAGTCCTATTTGGTTTTGGGTAGTAGTTATGGCTTGATTTCAGTAAGTGAAGAAGAGACTGATTTTATTTCATCACATCTAACCAAGTGCATGATAACAACTTTACAGATATTTAAATATTAATGTATATAATATGAAAAAATAACACATTTTTAAAACAATGTATGACTTTTTTTGTGTGCAGTTTGTGAGGGTTGTTGTGTTTTACTCTGTCATTGTAGCCCAGTTTTATATAGGTTGCAGATTGAAACAACAACAGCAGATATTCCTGAGATAAGATATACATAAGTACAGTTAATTTGTACTGAATAGTGTGTACCATAATGATTCATTAGTTAAGTTTCAAATCAATGAAAAAATATACCAAATGAAACTAAACACTTTTGGTTTTAGTATGTGTACTTCTTTAAGTGAATCCCTAACAAATTAAGGCCCATTTTTCAAAACAAAACTCAGTTTTGACCACTTTTTTGCTGCCTCATTCACTTATCCATAGTCTTTGTTAAGTTTGATTGATTCACTTCTATCTTTACAAATACAGTGAGTGCTGTTAAAGAGTTTCTACTTTTCTCAGCCTCTTTTGTCTTTTAGGTTCTAGTTATTTTAAAGTATCATCTTATGTGACTAAAAAAGGTAAACTTCTAGGGTTTTGCTGAATCATGCACTCAGTTCTTTAAAATACATAATTTTTGAATTCTAGTCTAGTGTATCCACTAGTAATGGTGCTTAGATTCAATAAATACTTGATGCTCATTATTCTGTGTGTTTAATAACTTTCCACTGGCTCATTATAAGAAAATGTCTATTCTTGTATGAATGGTTTGATATATTTGAAACTCTTCCAACAACTTTATTGATTTTCATTGTATTAAGTTCCTTCTAATCAATGAACCTTTTTAACAAGGTTTGTGGATCTGAATGTTCCATAAGTCTTAACTTAAAATTAGTAGTTACCTGTCCAGGTATTGTCACTTTTCTACTAGCTGTGATGACATCTGTCCAATAGGCAATCACTAAAATGTTTTTTCTGTAATGTGGCGACTAATATAGTGAACTGGAATCTCTTCATAACACATTATAAAGCTGTCTTAGTTTAAGTTCAACACAATTTCATATTTATTAACAAAGTCTGTCCATAATATATATTCCTCGTGTATCAACCATACATCGTATTGTTTTCCAGTCTGGATGTTACATTGTAATTGTAGATTCAGAGTCAATAGGGATATAACAGTGTATTCCTTATATATTTGTACTATTGAGCAAATCTATTTTAACATGAGTTATCGTACCCAGAATTAGGCAATGTATGTTTATCCAAACTGAACTTTTCTGCATGAGATTAGCTAATCCATATTTTCAGACTGATCACTACTGACATAATCGTTGTTTATAATTTTTGTACTTTAGTCCTTTATGTTCAAGCAGGGTGAGCTTCTAAACTTTTGTTTTGAAGCCTGGAATGACTTGTTTGCAGCTACAAGCATAGAATAATCCCTGATGATAGCGAAAACAATTTCCACTTGCATTTCATTGAATTTGGTGGTATCAATCGGTGGAATGTTGTTTCTTGCAGCTCTTATAACATGAGCATTTTTGCTGTGTACCAAGAGATAACACTTAAACATCTTAAATAAACATATATATTGTTATTTAAAAGATGTTAAGCCCTTGTTTTGATAAAATATAATTTATGTTTATGAAAATGCTTGAAAAATTTCAACTATACCAGGGTTTAAGTACACCCACAAGGTGATTCAGAACCACTGTTGCCAGAGTCAAAAGTGGTAGTCTTTTTTATAATAATGTTTTTTCGACATAATACACCTCATTGATATAGAATATCAGTTATTGTAATAAAAACAAATTTATTCTGTCATATAACCTTTTTGGCCCTGTTTGCTTCCCAGCAAGGTTTGGACATGTAAGATATTTATATTGGTGTTGTATGGTTGAAGTTATCACCTGCATCTTTGGTTATTCTTCCAGGAACCATATTAACAGGAACAGAAGCCCTATCTTCATTCTTCTGGCATTCTACCCAATATGTGTCAATCCTAAAACATCATCATAGTTGGTACAATGACCATATCTATTCACTGTTTGCACTATCTCCTTTTGCTGTGCCATTTGGTGTAGTCTTACATCAAGACCCACATTCTTTGGGGTCTTGAATTTTTCCTTTACTTGCCAAGTGTACCAAATCTTAACCTATACTGAGTCAGTGGTGTAGTGACCTATAGGTAGGGTAGGGCAATTGCCATAGGGTGCAGGTCTTTGGGGGTGCCATATTGACCAAAAAATAATAATAAATGGGGATGTATGTGTGGAAAGGGGCACAAATTGAGGTTTTTGCCCTAGGGCACCAAATACCCTTACTACGCCACTGCACTGAGTACTGTCTGTGTGAGGTTTCATTGTCATTCCAACATCATCTTTGCAAACATTATTTAGAGTCTTATGTTTATTTTGAAAGAATCCAATATAGAAAAGTGTAAAGATCATCAGTCACCATGTAAGAGCTCTTGGACACAGATGTTTTTGGAGAAGTTTCTATTTCAGATTCTGTAGCTATTGCTGATCTCAGGACCAAAGCTGCATGATGTAAAACAATCTTTTGAGAAGGTTTTTCATCATTTATGTCCAAGGAGTGTCTTGCTCCACTCTAACATTTCTCAGTGTTTGTTTCAGGGTTTACTCACAGCAACATCTGGGAATTTTGGCGATACATTAAAAATTTGAAATTAGTCACTATAGTGAGTTTCAGGTTTGGGCTTCAGTTTCTGTCTGTTATTCTCTCTGTACATCCTCATTTCAAGTATATATATTTGGACAAGTGAGTCTAGTACTTGGATAAAATTATTGTTATATCTATAGCTTGTCTCCCCCCCCCCCTCCAGATCTGGTAAAACATCATCCATCATTTCATGTAAGACTGGTAGGACTGAGTTGAAGCTTTTTGTGTGACTTTCATATAGATGTAGTAGCTGTGACAACATTAGTGGTACTGTGCCTCTAATGCCATAAAATTGATGAAATCACTGACCATGCAGGTCATCTCCTCATCATTCTTTTCCCTTGCACATTTTCCCTGTGTATAGCAATATTCAAATGTTGATACATTGATCAACATAAGAGATTTTCTTCCACAAAACATAACAGGGACTTCCAACCAAATGATTTCTTTTATGTCTACTTGTGCTTGGTTCACATTCCATGGTGTAGAGTCTTCTGTTATCATTTGAAGATGTTCCAGACTAGTAAATGATGAATAAAAACTTTGGTGCCACATCAGATGCATTGCTGATGGTTTTAGTGACAGTTAATCTTCACCAATAAATGGTTTGATATCATCATAAAACTCACAATCATCAACATCTCTTCTATGCTTCAACTTTTTCAGAAAATTCTTAATACTTCTAATGGTTGTTTTGATTAGTTCTGCACTCGTTTTCTTTTGGTAAAAGAGGCATTTTGTAAAATCAAGACCAATTCTTTGCTTGTTTGGTGAAATTTTTACTCCAATGGACTCTCTACCATAACAGTTTTCTTTCACTGAACAATAATAAAGACCTGATTTTATAACCAATGAAAATAAACAGATCTAGTACTACATCGTAGATGCTTTGCCTTTACCCAATCATGCAGCATTTTTGAAAGCATATTAATGCTTTTATTTTATATTATCAAGTACACAGAAAATATCAGTCACTGGCAGGATACCTGGTGTTGCCCGGGGACCGAAGCACTCAGTTTGGTGACTACTTGATTAAGAGGAAAATAACTAAAAAAGCTTCATGGTAATTGTGCCTGAATTATAATTCTTTCAGACAAAATATTTATTTTCTTTGTAAGAGAGATACACAATTCAAAGAAACTTAACTTTTGTTGAAAACATAGTCAGCTGAGGGTTTCATGAAAATATAGTCAGTTAAGGGCTTCATGATAAACAATGTTCTTAGTTTTTCCACATGGAGCATTTACATAAAGATTTTTTGGGCTTTCAACACGTGAACATCCAACATAGAGTTGTCCATGAGGGAATTAGGGCTCTTCCAACTGCAAGCCAATTACCTTCAATGTCTGACCTTGCAATTTGTTGATCAACATGGAAAAGCTTAAGCAAATGAGAAACTATAGTCTCATAAACTCAAATGGCATATCAGTAGGAATCATTGAGATTCTCGGAATGAAAACATCTTCACCCTTGCCTCATCCAGAAGGTATTTTAGCTTCAATAACATTGGGCATAAGCTTGTTTACTGCCAGTCTTGTTCCATTGCACAGATGTGGTGGATCCAAATTTCAGAGTACCATGATTGGTGCTCCTACTTTTAGACTGAGACAATGTGGTGGGACTCCTGGAGGTTCAAATGAATTTAGAAACTCTGGGGGATAGTTGAACACTTGGGTTTGATCAGGCACTGAGTCAACTGACTTGTAGCACTGGATATTACCAGGTATCTGCTGAAACAGTTGTGTATTGACAACAATGTTCTTTGGAGCTAATATTGCTCTTTCACACAGCTATCTGTGATTTTGATAGTTTCCAGAAAGGTTTGGGAAAACCTTTGCTATGAGTTCATCAACAGATGTTACTTGTGTACAGATTGGTCCCATGTCAGTTGTTCCTTGTTGATCTTGTTTGCAATAGACTGTCAGCAAATTGTCCAGATAATTGATCTCCATGCAGATGGGCTCTCATATTGGTAGATAGGTGGAATATTTTTAAGTTTCTCCAAAGATATGATGATTTTAGGCAAGCCTTAAGTTGATGGGCTCGTGTGCCTCTTGGAATGACCGGC